TTTTTTTTTTTTTTTTTTTTTTTTTTTTACTGCGGGTATAAAAAGATACCAGTTAATTGGAGTTTCATTTTGTTTAATTTAATGTACTTCAGGATTCACTTTGCGTGAAAATTGATACTCAACTGATATTCTTTATTTTAACTCGGTACTTTTGTTTACATTATCAAGTTAACTGGTGAAATCTGAGAAGTATTGTTTCAAAAATGTAGGTGTCAAAAATTTGTATCTGTTAAAGTGGTCATGATTACTGAGATTGTTATTTATTGATGACATTCATTAATCAGGCATGTAAACATTTTTTATGGTAAGTCAGTGATCAGCAAGAATATAAAGTGAACCCAAATGGGAAGTAGCTTCTAATATTGAACTGAGTATATGAACAAGTGCATCAGTTATGTAAAATAAAAATGCTGACATTTTTGCATTATAATTTGTTAGCATCATTTACTGGTATTCCGTCAACTTAATTGAAATATTAACCTGGAATCAGGTGCGTGGTATGATACGGTACGGTACATCGTTCTTTGCTTTCCATTTTGTTACACTGAGCAGTAGTTGTGTGCACATAAATACTCTTTTGCTTGATGGTGGAGGTGCTTTCTGACCATTTGCAATGCATAAAATAAGTCTTCTCATAAGTAATATGAAGATGTTTGTTCGTATTACATGCCAAGACATTGGTAATTAAAATATTACAATTATGTTTGACTCGGATTGAGTAAACAATAAATTTCTATTTTATTGCTTCTTTGTTTGGTTGTTTAATTTCGATTATAAAATAACTGCATAAACAAGTGTAAAATGTGAAGAAGTTATTAGAGAGATTGATACCCTTAAATGAATAGCAGACACAGATGTTAAGATTTCATTATGTATTGCTTGAGATTTTTGTAGTAGTGCAGGGTTTATCTTCGGGACTGCTAGCAGGCACTTTGCAAAAAACATGTTGTATTACTGTTTGAGAGAGATGCATATGTATATATATTCAGGGCAAAATTCAGAGGAAATTTCACTTCACCTTGGGGGAGGGGTAATCACTCGTGTTCCATTGGTGAGGAGAATATCTTATGTAGCCTACTCTTCTTCCTGCTGACTTCTTGCCTTGTCTCAGTTTCATAATATTTTGATATTTTAAAGTGATTACTTAAGAATTAAAGAAAATCTTTAGAATAGATTTGTGTCGGTAACCTAATTATGGTTGCATGAAGGAAACCTTAATAATCCTGTGATGCTTTGATGTGTAATCAAAACGACTTGTTCTTCCATGTGCTTTTAAAATGACAAACCTGGATTCATTTGGGATACACAGTGTGTGGATATATTTGTGTAAAGGAATGTATGCTTCTCAAGAATATAGAATGCAATAATTCATACTGTCATAATGTCATATAAAATGATATGATATAATATATTGTAATGTGCTAGGTGATATGACAAACAGCTCCAGATATTAGAGCAGGAATCCTGTCAGGGTTGTCAGGTAGTATTAAATTAAAAGATAGCAATGGTTGACCTCTGTGTTATCAACGAAGAAAGGAAACGTTCAGAACATAGTAATCACTGATTAAATAAAACTACCTGAACACTTGTGAACATTGCACTTGTAAATAATGGTTTCAAAAATCTTGCACATGTCTATCTTCATATTGGCTTCAGAAAAGCTACATCACCAAAAATAGAAAAGGAGACTCTAAAGGATCTCAGAATGTGGAATATAGCTTAAGAAACTACGCTTATCCCTTTTGTGGCATAAACAACACTGTTATTATGGTCTGGAACACATGGTTTCCAAGATATGCATGATGAAGCAAGTTGCAATGCAATCCATATTGCAAGTTGCATGTGCCTCTGCTTTTGCCGTATACCCTAATCTGTGAACTTCTGTTTTGTTATAAGTATGTTTGGTGCAGGACTGAGAGGTAGTTCTCAGTGCAGCGATAATATCCTTACAGGATTTTATGATGATGGTGTCTTACAAATGATACATAAATGATTCAAAACGGTTTATTTTTCTGCAGCAAATTATGTGTAGAAGGGGTAGAAACATTAAAAATGCACTAAACTATGGACTATTTGATTTCATTAAGATTTTTAATAAAAATTTATTTAATTAATAAATGGTTTGTGCTGTGAATTTGCTTTAGTGTCTTATAAAGTGAATTAAACATTTACCAAAATCAATTTCTATAACAAAACATTTATGAGAAAATTACTTAAAGGTTAAAAACAATTTACTGATAATATTTTCCAATTTATCACTGCATCTCTTGTGACCCTTAGTCCCATGGATGATGTTTTTTCACTGGCCATTTAACTTGCTGGGCATTATAAGTACACTTCGGTTTTTCTATAGCGGCAGATGACATTGGGTCATCTTTACAACTCCTACCTTATAAAATGAATATTTTTAACTGGTAAGCACATTCTGAGGCCATGAACCATGTTGAGATGGAAGTTTGCAAATTAATTAAAAAGATTTGTTGTATAAGGCAGAAGTTTTGACAATGACCTAATGACTCGGCCACTTTTGAATAACTGAAGTATAATTAGTGATTTTGAAGTAAATAGTGAATTATTATTTGTGTTTTTCATTTACTGTGGTAGAAATCCATTGATAAATTTTTAAGGTGTATACTTTTTTGCTTGTTGAGAAATATTTGGATTTGTTATAGTGATAGTCTGTTTTTTTTTTAAATAATCAGTTTTGCTTTTGCATGTTATGAAAAATTAAATTATGGATTGAATCATATCGCTCAGGAATGTCCTTGGCTATTCCTGATGTAAAATTTATCAGTATGGCCCAAATAATCATGTAATGTAACAAAAAATTTGAAGTTAAATCTGCCCAACCAAGTTGTCTTAATGTTTATTTTTTATATCAAATGGTGCTTGAAAATGTTTTTAGTACATATATTACCTGCTTTACCCAAAAGCTAAAATGGCCATTCATTTTAAAATTTTTTTACTTTTTCTATAGTTTTGCTCTATGATTTTGTCAAAGAATCATATGGGGAACAATTGATCATTGTCAAACGTGCATCTTTTGGTATGACCCCATTCTTTTTAAGTTGTCTCATGGTGTGATAACATGAGATGAGTCTTTCAATGAATGTGTGTGATGTTGCAATAGAATTCATGAAAAGGATGCAATCCATTGCACTCAGTGTGTCATATCTGTGGGAGTAAGAATCACAGAGAAGAGGTTGCAGTCCATAGAAGAAATTGGTGGGTGAGAAAAGTTTGTTGTTTGTCTCCTTCGCCTTCAGAGGTTTGCCTTCCCCTTGATATCCTATTGGAATTCAGCTGAATTAACACACGCTGCTTCAGCTTAGGTTGTAGGCACTGTTATCCTTAACTTTTTCCTGAAATGCCTCTTTCTCCATAGCCTTCATTAAAAGGATGAAAGAATTGGATTAAAATTTGGGAAAACCTATACACAAAATTTTGATTTTGCAAAACAAGTTCTTCTGCAATGTGGTTCAGAAGTTGCAGCAACCAAGCATGGCCGTGCAAGTATTTGTGAATGGAAAATTCAAGAAGCAAATATTCTATATTCGTTTCTATATATAGCTCTGCAGTTAAATCTTGAAATGTCTTCCAAAAGTCTTTCAGAAAACTTAAAATTACAATAGCTGCTGCTGCTGCTGCAGTGGAAACGATGATCCGTTGTGTCTGAGGATTTGGAGCATGTTTGTTTATTATTACAGAAATCGTGTTTCAAAAATATTATAGTATACGAAACTATCTTTCAAACTTTTTGTGTGACTTTATACGGCTTATGAAAATTATTTTAA